TATATAATACTGAAGCATTAAATAACCAGGTCTTTCCAGTACTATAGATCTGGAATCTCTAAACTTCTTTAAGAGGACTGCATACATACACACATATATGATATATGTTTGCAAATTATATTAATATATACTACTATATTAATAGAAATTTAAAATTGAGATAAAGATGAAATAAACAATTTTAACTTTTTTAAAATTTCATTTCTTAAGAGTTAAAATATCTTTTTGTTCTCCAAGAGAACAATGTAATTGAATAGCCTTCATTATTTTTGAGATCTTTGTTTAATACTTCATGATAGTGACTGAAGGGCCTGGTTCTACGTTTTAATATTTTCTTTCTTCATCCCAATGAATTATCTTGCACCTGCTATGGAGTGAGGATACCCCACTTTGGAAATCACTATTCTTGACCATTAAAAATCTATAGACATTTGCTTTACTACTCCTTTGACAGGGTCTCAGGCAGACATGCTTTAATGAATCATGTTTTAGTGACCCTCCAGAGGATATAAATTCATTGAGTTATTTTAAGAAAATACAATACATATAAGAAACTTGAAGTCCTGAAGACAGAATGAACTAAAATGGAAATAGCTGGAGCTTATTTCTAGATACTTTAGTCATTCAATTAACTTCTTAACATCTCCATAACATATGAATTCCTCTACCTTACCCACAGGGGCATTAAAAGACTTAATTAATGATTGTAATGAGTTTTGAACTCCTGGGATGTGTTGCTAATACAATTTAAAAGTTTCTTCACTCATCTATTGACCTTAATCTTGATCTGCAGTCCTTTTTCTAAGTTAGGTATAGCACTCTATGGAAGTCTTGTCATCTTTTGTAGCTTTGAGCTTTACATGAGACGTTTCCAACTCATACCTATGTAAAGTGAATATCTAAATTAATAAAATAAATTTTAATTGCACTTGCACCCAATGACAAGTTACCATAGCAACTAAAAATTGTGGGATTCTGTCTAAGCCCTCAATAGTACTTCAGAGTACTACTTATTAATTCTAATCCACTAATTGCTTTCAAGATTGTTGCACCAAAAAATATAGAGAATGGTTCCTGAAGTTTTAATACTAGGTGATTAATAAACCCGAAGCATGATTAAAACATTCTACTTACGATAGAAAAAGATAGGAAATATAATGAACCTGAGTGATCACTTTGCCCCTTAAATAAAGAATATTTTAATAGAATTGGCTTTACAAAGAGAAAGGTGCCTTTGGACTTTTGCTAGAATTGATACTGCCATCTGAATTGTTTCTCTTCCCTCCTCAGGCCTTCCACAATAACTCTCTAATGACTCTCCCAGGTCAGAACCTTACCTTACAATTTACTGAGAAAATGGAGGCCACCTGCCATAAACTCTATTTTCTCCCCTTCTCTACATCTCACAACTCTATGACATCACCCTCTTATCTTCCCTTCCCTGCTGTAATCTCTGATGAAGAAAGGGCCGTTATTTTTGCCAAGGTCAACCTCTTGATCTCCATCTTCTCTAACAAATTGCTCCCATAATGGTGTTTTCACTCTCCCTAATCTTCTACCTCTCCCAATCTACCAGTTCCTTCTTGGTACTTACAAATATACCCATCTTACCTATTCTTAAAAAACACAAAAACAAAAACATCTCTAGATCCTTCCCCCTCGGGCTGTTGTCCTCTATCTTTCATCCTCTTCTCAGCCTCCTAGAATAAGATGTTTATGCCTATTACCTCCACTTCCTCTCATTCTCTTCATAGCTCTTTGACATGTGGAAACTGATATTGATCTCTCCAAAGTTACCAATGATCTCTTAACAACCAAATTTTATAGACCTTTCTCACTTCTCATTCTTCTTGACCACTTTGTATAACTGTTGACCATTCTCTCCTCTCAGTTGCTTTCTTCTCTCTGGGTTTTCATGACTACACTCTCTCAGGTCTCATTCTATCTGGCTTTTCCTCAGTTGCCTTTGCTGGTTTATCATCCATTTCAAGCACCCCTACAGTGGCTATCCTAATCCCTTTCCTTTTCTCTCTACATTATCTCTCTTGGTGACCCATTCACATGGGTTTATGATCATCAATTTTAGGCTATCTCCTGAGCTCCATATCATGAAACACTTATTGGAAAGTTTGACATGAATATCCCACAGGCACATTAAACTCAACATGTTCAAAACAAAACTCATTGTCTTCCCTCAAAACCCACTCCTTCTCCAAACCTTCCTATTTCTGGAGAGGGTAACATCATCCTTGCAGTCACCCAAATATGAAACTTTGGCATCAGTCTCAACTCCTCATTTTCCCTCACTCCATTTATCTAATTAGCTGCTCAATGGTGCAATGAATAGAGCACTGGGCATGGAGTCAGAAAGACCTGAGTTCAAATTTAGCCTTAGTCACTTAATGGCTGAGTGACACTGAGCAAGTCACTAAACATCTATTTGTGGCAGGTCCCTCATCTGTAAAAAAGAGAAAAATGATGGCACATATCTCACGGGGGTATTGTGAAGATAAAATGATATATTTGCAAAGTTCTTTGCAAACCTTAAAGTGTTATATAAATATTAGCTACTATTAAATCTTGTCTTTTCTGTCTCCACAATATCTCTTGAATCTGTTCCATTCTCTCTATTCACATGGCTGCCACACTAGGATAGGTCTTTATGACCTCTCACCTGGCTTATTGCAATAGCTTCCCAATTGTTCTCCCCGTCTCAAATCTTTCCTTACTCCAAACTACTCTCCACAAAGCTGCCGAAGATATTTTTCTAAAGTGCAGATCTGACCATGCTACTCTCCTACTTCATAAATTTGGAAGGCTTTCTATTACCTCTAGGAGCAAATATAAACTCCTCTGTTTGGCATTTAAAGTTCTTCACAACTTGGCCCGACCTACTCTTCCAGACTTACCACTTATGACTCTTCTTCACACAAACTGTGGTCCAGTTAAACTGGTCTTAACGTGCCTCACACATTGCACTCCATCTCTCATCTTTGTTCTTTTTACATTGACTGTCTCAGATTTCTGGACTTGTTACCTCCTTACTTTGTCTTTTTAGGATTCCCAGTTTTATTCCTTCAAGGCCCAGCTCAACTTCTACCTTCTACATGAAACCTGTCCTAATTCCCTTACATGCTAATTCCACCCTTCCCAAATTATATTGTATCTATTTTGTGTCTCTCTCATATGTATGTGCTGTCTCCCACAGCTAAACTATAAGCTCCTCTAAAGAAGAAATAATTTCATTTATGTTTTTGTATACCTAGTACCTTACACAGTTTCTGAGACAGAGTAGCACTTAGTAAATGTTTGTTGATTGACGCACTCAATTTTCTACATAAAACTCTTCAAAATACTTAATTACATGAGCTAAGTTGTATTCTGACTCACTTTAAAACTAATTTTCATGTAACTGAAGGCAAATATGGTGAAATACTGTTCTAAATAATGTGAATTTGAAGTTGTTCCAGTCACATCTCTCCTTTCTTACCTAGAGGTTAGTTATTCACAAAGTTTAGGTATCTGAAAGGCAGCTCAAATGCAGAAAGCAACCAAAAAAGTTCCCTTGGGACCCAAAATATATTTCACAAAGTCCATATACTACATGAATATTTTACTCTTCCCCCAGAAGCAAATTAGTCTTATTTTAAATGTACTTCACACACTTGGCATTTTGTTTTCCCAGGCCATCGCAAGTAAATTTGATTCTTTGGTTACCTAGCTTATAGGGAATTGGAAGCAGCACACCAGTCAAGGCGAATCAATGAATGACTGACAATGAATAAAAAAACATTAAGTGCTCATTCTGTGTTTAGTACTGTGCTAAGCATTGGAGATACAAACGGGAAACCAAGACAAGTCTGTTCTTAAGGAACTCACATTCTAATTGAGGGAATCAACATAAATTGCTACTTTGTTGTTCATTTTAGTCATATTAGATTTTTTGTGACCCTATTTAGGGTTTTTTTGGCAAAGGTACTGGGGTGTTTTGCCATTTTCTTCTCCAGATCATTTTACAAATGGGGAAACTGAGGCAAACAAGATTAAATGACTTGCCCCAGTGTCACACAGCTAGCAAGTTTCTGAAGCCAGATTTGAATTCAGGAAGATTTGACTCCGGCCTAGTACTCTGTGCACTATGGTGCCACCTAGCTGCACTATTGCTGCAGGGTAGATGTAAGTACCTAGTGGTCCTTAAGATATACTGGCAGGTCAGATGCAATACCAAGAGGTCTGGAGGCCAGAGTAGATGGTAAGATCAAGTGTGGTGGAGATGCTACCAGACAAATAGAAGCGATAGCTGACAGTAAATGAGTCACCCTAAGAGGTCTGGCTTTGCTTTCTGTGTTAGTCATAACAGAGCTATCTTTAGTGACCAATCCTCATCTTTGTAGGCTTCCATGGTTTTGAATATAATGCTACAATCCATTCTAGGAAAGACTTGAATTACAGGAGACATCTATGAATTACCCCAAGATTCTTTTGGATTATAATTGACCTATATTCAGATTCAATATTTTATTTTCTTATATTCTTAAGGTTCTGAAAAATGAAATGTAATTAAAATGTGACTTTGTTCTATACCTCAAAAGTCAAGTCTTATCTAAACATGAAAAAGACGTTGTGGAGCGGAAGTATTTACAGCAAGTATATTCTTCTTGAAAGACTCAAGTTTTTTCTGGGCATTGTTTTTAGATACAAATCAAATGTTAAAAATCACACAAACCCTTAGGAGAAAAAATGACTCCCAAGATATAGACTTCTGTAGATTTAAAGAACAGTTAGTTGTATTTCATTAGAAAATGGTGAAAGTATTTTAGTATTTTCACTTCTTAATGTCTTGAGGGCAGACTGTGTATAAATGTTTTGGGAATATTACCAATATAATCCATGGAGAAATCTAATAAAGGTTTTTTTGATGACATCAATAGCCTTAGAAAGGCAAAGATAATTGTGGGAAAAAAGAAATATTTAAAATATTAGGTAAGTAATCACAATACCTCGATGCAGATATGATGCATTCCTCCAGCCTTGTTTTTCTGAAGAAAGCCTTCAATTGGACTTTGGTTTCCCAAGGGATGTAGTAATTCAAGCTTAGTATTTCCAAGTTCCACAAAAACAACAGAGACACCATGTTCAGGAACAGGGACCACTTCACTTACCTGGGCCCCTAGCACATTCTTATAGAAAGACTTGGCCATCTGCAAGTCAGGTACTGCAACTGCTACATGATTTAATCGACCTAGATTCCACATGATTCCTGAAACATTCTGAGACAGAGAGCGTGACTCTGAAAAAGTTCTTACTGTTGGAGTGAGAATTTTCAGCCTGATGAAAGCCCCTGTAAAATTGAATGACAATGGTATAATTCATTTGAAAATCAATGTACAACTTTTATAATTTTAATAAAAATATAAATATGCATATTCTACTGTACTAGTATTATCTTTTAAGGGGTACCACAGACTATTTAGAAATATAAAAAAAGAGGAAATGCTTCTATCTTCTCCTGTATATAGCTAACACTTTTCTGAAATTATGAAATAAATTCAGAGAAGGTAAATGAAGAATTCCTAGCATGAATGCTTAGCTTTGTCCATTATAAATAACTATTATTGTAACAGAAAAATTCATTTTAAGTTTCACTTAAGATCAGTAAAAAGAAGACAAGTTTTAGAATCACCTGGAGTCCTGAAAGGCTAAGTGATTTGCCCAGGGTCACATAGCCAGTATCTATTGAGGAAACTGAGGCAGCTAGGTGGTGCAGTGGATACAGTACTGGGCTTGGAATCAGGAAGATCCATCTTTATGAGTTCAAATCCAGCCTCAGACACTTATTAGCTGTGTGACCCTGGACAAGTCACTTAACCCTGTTTGCCTCTGTTCTTCATCTGTAAAATAAACTGGAGAAGGAAATGGTAAACCATTCCTTGCCAAGAAAACTCCAAAGGGGGTCCTGAAGAGTCAGATGTGACTGAAATGATCTAACAACATAGTTTAGGGAATTAAAACATCAAGTAGTAGTGGGAATTGAGTGAACTACTCTGATTTATCTTGTGACAATTCTGGAGCTAGCTCAGTTCCTTTTCTATTTAATTATAGGTCTAGTCCAATTTTTGTCTTGTGAGAAAACTTTATTCAAAATTGTGAGAAAACCTTATTGCATTGTTTTAAACCTAGCTCTGTGTGACTAGGAAGCTGGACCACCCGTTGCTTAGAGACTTTTAACTAATGGCCTAGATTATGCTGATTAGAAACCCAGTCAGATCCAAAGGAGTTTTCTCACAATTCTGCATCTCAAACAATCCATATGTCTTATCTGAAAATTGGTTCCAACCCTGGTCAATCAGTCATTGTTTCCATGTTCCTTCGATTGAATACAGACACATGGGGGGAGTGGGACACCTCTTTTTCTGATTTCAGGGAATCGCACCTGTTCACTCTCCCCCCTCCCACTTTGGGAAGTCTCTAATCTTTCCTCCAATTAGAAACCAAGTATCTAATTTTGCATCCTGGTTGTTTTCTTTTAATTAACTGGTCTTATTTTATTAATTGTTTTTAATGAATAAAAATCTGTCTCCCCCTATATTCGAGGTCCAGTGCCAAAGCTGAGGAAGACTGGTTCCAATTTGTTATGCAATTGGCATGCATTGCTTAATAAATCAATATGTTCAGAAGTTTGAACATTTGTTTCCTTAGTCATTTCATCTTTCACCTGCCACTGCATCCAAGAAGGGACTTGAACTCAGGTACTTTTGACTGAGGCTACTCTTCTATCTATTATGCCACACTGCCATGCCAGTATAGTTTGGTGAAGGCAAGTACAGCAAACTCCAAACTCTGCCTGATTCAGTATGGCTCAGTGACAGTATATCTGTTGTCCTAGGAGGAGTCCAGTGAAATTCAGAAACACTAATTACCAGGTTAGCTGCAGGGTGATTAATCTGACAGCCAGGCTAACTCTTGTAAGACTATCTCCTAAATTGTGGATGTCCTTCATCTTTGTAGGTGGTGGGAATAATCACACCAACAAAATCACCAATCCTTAAAGTATACCACATTTCACCAAGAGGTAATAAGGTATAGAACAAGAAGAGTGAAGGTTCTCAAATCCTATGGTTAAGCTCATTTAAATTAATACCCTTCAGCAATTAAAAAAAAATCAATGTTCCATCCATATGAAATTAAATTGGAAAAATAGTGAATTGAGAAGAAAAATAAAATTTAAACTGAAGATCGTAGGAAACAACAAAACTGCTTATCAGAATTCCCTCCAAGGTAGCAGTTATTATTTTTATTCCACTCCCACCCCTCCTATTAAAGGATAAAGGAGAGAAATGTGCAACCAGTTGCGGGACAATTGAACACCTATCTTTGAGATAATTATACGTACTTAATGATCAAAACAGACTTTTAGGACAGATTTAGAACAGGAAGAGACCTTATACATCAGCTAGCCATGGGTGAAATGCCTCAAGTGAAAAAAAAAACCTGATGCCCAGGAAGATTGTGCTATTTCAAAGATCACATAAATTGTAAGTAGCAGATCTGGTATTCAAAATCCAGTTCACTCACTTCAAACCAAATACCCTTTATGCATTTCTGAAACACTTCCTCATCTATTTGTTACTGAGATTTGTTATTCTTTAAATATCAAGCTTTTAAAAAACCCTTTTAATGTTCATCATCACATAAACAAAACAATCTAAAATTAGAATTATGGTAGTATAAGGTTCAAATATAATCTAGATTATAAAACTTCAATTTATGTTAGAGCATAACATTTAGCAGGAGAAAAAACTAAGCAACACTGATCTGTTGCTGGCTCTTAAAGAAAAGCACTTTGATAGTACACAAAGTTACTTATTTACTCAAGAAAGCAAAAGATTACATTCTGGCAAAATTTTGGGTCACACAGGGAATTTAAGGGCCCCAGAGTTAAAGTCTTTTCTGTTACTAACACTATACAATGTAACTCCGAGACTAAAAAGCACTAAAACAGAATGTAATCTTTCTTACATTCCATACTATGTTCTTTAATTACTGAATTACCCAAAAGTAGATTACAATGGTCTTCACACAGAGAACACATAACACAGCCAGTTCCCAAGGACAATGGCCTGATGAAGCCCTGGTGTATTGGAGTTTTAAAGTCAGTCTTATAAATATGTGGACATATCTAATCAGCTGATATTTTCCACCACATTATTCTGTGAAAGACTGAATGAGCTCTAACTGTATCTGTAGCATTTTATATCAAAGGAATAAAAATGGTAAGCTAGCATGCAGTGAGAGAATTGGATAATGTGCAGTATTATCTGTAGTGGCTACAAAATTGGCTCATGGGGACAATGGGCTGGTAAAAGTTCTTTTTTTAACTTAGCAGTCTCCAAAATTGTTCATAATACTGCTTAAGGTAGTTCCATGCATCTCCCCAGTTGCCTCACCTTGACATTTAATGTTAGTCACAAGTGGTACTAAAAATCTAGTTCATGCAAGACTGGATTTCACATCATTATAATACATACATTATTGAATTAATTCTAAATGATTCCTTCCTTTCCTAAATTCTTGTGCATTGATATTTGACCTTTGCCATACACTTAATCACATCCTAATTTCTATGACAGTTTTGCGTACGAGAGACAGCAAGGTGAAGTGGACCTAGTGATTAAGTCATTCATACCACAGTATAAAAGTTCTATGCTTGGAACCATAAATTAGTCAGACCAATAACTAGCTGTGATTAGTAGAAGTCAAGGCTAGGATTATTTTTTATTAGAATAGGGGAATGAACAAAAAAAAATAGAGCAATTCTGGAGCAGGAGGGCAAACCTGGAAGGGATGAGGGACACTACACAGATGGTGGCCATTTGGAGAAAGAAGATGCAGAAGATAGGAAAAGGGTTCAAAGAAGGAAGTCAAGATATATTTTGCAGTTCTACTTAACTCTGTGGCAGTAGGTCCTATACTACTGAAAATCAACTCACATTGTGCCTATGGATGCCAATGCCCGAGTTAAGATTTAAGACTAATTTAGAAGACTGCCAACCTCAGTCTCACCTAGGTTGGCTCAGGTCTCCATTTCAGTTCTGTATTTTTCTGTCAAAACAACAGCTGTTCCTCTGTTTGGAGGAATAATAAGGAAAAAGAAAAGGGAAAAGAAGAAGAAAAGCACAATCATTTATTCCACAAATATTTATTAAATGCCTTGTCCAAAGCAATGTCCTTCATGCCAGTGAGGTATACAAAGACCACCTAAAATATGGTTCCTACCCAAATACAGTTCAATATAGAGGTGCAAAGTGATATGGGAATTCAGAGAAAGAGCTGCTTAACTGGGGAGAGCAAAGACATTTTGACAGAGGATGGTATCTGAGCTAGATATTGAAAGATGAGTAGGAATAATATGTATGGAGCTGGCAGTGGAGGGCATTTTGGGGAACAAATGTGAGCAAAAGCATGGAGAAAGAGGGAAAAGCTCAGACAGTGTTAAGTCCAGCTTGGCTAAAGTTTGATTGGGGCAAGAGAATGGAAAAGCCTGTTTACACTTACTGCCTCCACTTCGTTCCTTTTATGCTTTTCAATTCCTCTGCAAAATGACTTCTGACATTATTATCCACCTTAAACTGCTCTCCTCTAAAGCTACCAATGATTCTTTACCAGCTAAACTGGATGGCTCTTTCTCAATCTTCAGTCTTCTTGTTCTTTCTGTAGCATTTGCTATCTCTCCTATCTGGGTTTTTGTGATACTCTTCTCTCTTGGTTCTCCTCCTGTCTGATCACTCCTCACTTTCTTTTGCTGGATCATCATCCTTGTCACATCCTCTAAGTGTGGGTATACCCCAACGATAGGTCCTGGGGCCTTCTAATTTTTCTCTGTAATCTCTCACTTGGAGACATCTTCAGCTCCCATGGGTTCAAGTATCATCTCTGTGCAGGTGACTCTCAAATCAACCTTGAGCTTCAATCCCATATCACTAACCGCCTACTGCCCATTTTGAATTGGATATCTCATTGGCATCTCAAAATCAGTTATGTTCACTATCTTTCCCCCAAATGCCTCCCCCTTTCCCAAACTTCTCTATTACTGTGGAGGGTATAATTATCCTTCCAATGACCCAGGTTTGTAATTAGGGTATCATCTTTGATTCCTAACTCTTCGTTGCCCCACATATCCAATCATTTGCTAAATTTTGAAATCCTATCCTTACATCTCTTGAATATGACCCTTTCTCTCTACTTAGGACCTAGTTCAGATATTCTTTCTTCTTCCCTGAACTCTTACAATACCCTAATTGGTCTCTCCCCACCCCAATCCGTCTTATATACAGTACCAAAGTGCAGATTTGACTATCTTAGTTCTCTACTCAACAAATCCAGTGTCTTCCTATTACCTCTAGGATCAAATATAAACCTAATATATAAATCTAGCTGCTAATGCCTTCCATTCAAGGTTGCCTTTTATCCGCTTTATTTGTGTTTAACATATACCTACATGTTGCTTTCTTTCCAGTGTAAGCTACTTGAGGGCTATGATTGGTTTGTTTTTGTTAGTATCCCAGCTACTACCACAATTCTAGATTATTTAACAAATTCCTGATACACACACACACACACACACACACACACACACACACACACACATAAGCACACAGGCAAGCACATAAATGCCATAGCCTTTATTCAGAAGGTAATTTGGTGCCTTTGAAGGAGAACTGCTTTAGGAAGATTAGTTGGGCAGTAACTGGTTAGAACTACTTGGAAGGGGAAGAAATGGAGGCAGAATTTAAGTTAGGAAGCAGTTATTAGACTGAGCTCCTTGAGAGCAGGGACTGTTCTTTGCCTTTTCTCCCAAAGAGCTTAGCACAATGGGGCAGCTAAGTGGTGAAGTGAATAAAGTGCTAGGCCTGAGGTCAGGAAGACTATATCCCTGAGTTCAAATCTAGCCTCAAGCGCTTATTAGCTGTGTGACCCTGGGCAAGTCATTTAATCATTTGCCTCAGTTTCCTCATCTGTAAAATGGGGATGATAATAGCACCTTACCTCTTAGAGTTGCTTCGAGGATCAAATGAGATAATAATTGTAAAGCACTTAGCATAGTGCCTCGTACATAGTAAGCACTACAGGAATGTTAAGTTACTACTATTAGCTTCCGTAAATGCAGTGTGTTCACCATCATTATGGGACATAATCATAAACCATTATAGATGTTTTATAAGCTTTGGATCTGATTCTTTTACTACTTTATGAGCTAAAATTGATTATTTATTTTATTGGAGTTAGAGTCATTTTAAAAAATCCAATTTAGATTGAAAGAACCCACTTTGAATGCCTTCTTAAATGACCTTTTACCCAATTTACTTAATCTCCACTACCCTCTGGGGATGGTAGGTTGGCACAAGTAATATTTACCCTGTTGGCCTCCTACACAGGAAGGACTACCTTGTCCTATTCAGGGGTTTTGAATATGAAGGAAGACTTTGACCCCAAATGGTTTCACCTCTCCCTAGCCACCCCCCACCCCTTAAAAAAAATCCCAGTTCAATCCACGATTGCTGAACGCTGAAGTCTTCAAATCTTGACTCAGCACTTACTACCGGTGTGGCCTTGGTCTTTTTAAGCCTCAATTTTCTCGTCTGTAAAATGGGGAAAGCTAGATGATTCCTAAAGTCTCTTCCAACTCTAAACCTTTTCCTTCACCTTCGCCCAGTTTGCTGAAAGACCTCAAAATCCACTCTGCTCCCTGACAAGAAGCGGAGGCAGCTCTCCTCAGCTTCGGACTCAACCGCCCGCCCCGCGCCCGCCTCGAGGATCTCACACCAGCCCAGAGGCATTCACCTACTGTCGAGGCCGCCGCAGACAGAACCCGGACCACTTTCTGCACACCCGCCATCTTCCGAGGCGGTGGGTTTGATAGGTGAGTGGAGGAGTCGGTGGCTCGCGCGCGGCCACTGGATTGGGGGACAGGGGCGTGCCTTAGGAGAAGGAGGGGCCGGAGAGAGGCGAGGGGTGTGCCTTAGCAGCGCGTGCGACTGCTGCGATTGGTCGAGCGTCTACGAGGAGGTAGGCTCGGCTGTCTGTGACAGGTCGAGCTACTCCTACGGCTTTCAACTTCAACTTTATTGACAGTCTTGCAGAGAACAGAGTCCAAAATCGATCTAATGACCATTCTGCGCTTGCAATGGGATTTTCTAATACTAAAGACTCTCCACCCAGCCTGATCAGTAGTAGTGGCCCCTGTTACGAACGGCTTCTCTGTGACTTCCCTCAGACTCTCCTTCTTGTTGCGCAGGCGCCGCGGCGATAGGTCGTGAACTGAGGCCAGAGACGGAGGGAGGGGCCTAGGAACTTATGTGTTGCGGAACCATTGACCCATAGTCGGAAGTTCCCACGGGACGAGTAGACTTCTTAGTTTAGCGGTTTCCGGAGTTTCCTGTTCCGCTCCATGTGAGACGTGGACCAGCCAAGATGTCGGAGAAGAAAAGTTTACGGGGTAGACGCCGGGAGACCCTGGAGCACTGTCTGAAGGAGCTAGGCACTTCCACGGCTCATCCGGAGCAGTTCCTCACGTAAGCATCCTGATGTGCGAGAGCTCCGGGGGAAGACGGCGTAGAGGAGGCCACGGCTAGGCCACGAGGCCTAGGCTCTCGGTCTCGCCCCTCTCCCCCTGGGCTCATCTGGCCGTGGTGTGGGGCGGGAGAAAAGATGATTTATCGTTGTTACCCAGGCATCGCAGTTTGCGTGGAGGCCAAGCGCTACAACAGTCTAGTCTGGGCAGTTAGACCAGTGATTTTGCTCTACGTGCCAAGGGTTACCCACCAGACCCCTCGTGACGGTAGTATTTGGGGATTTCATCAAATAAACGTTTGCCAAGCGCCGGAGATGCAAAGAAACGCAAAAGACAGCCTCTGTTTTCAAAGGAGCTCACAATCTAGTGCAGACGACTATGTACAAACATGCTGTACACAGGTTATAGATAATCAATCGAGGGAAGGCGTTGAGTAAACGGGAAAGGCTCCCTGTAGCTAGGACTTGAAGGTAGATGGAGCAGATTGAGATGGGGGTGGGAGAGAGTTCCAGGCTTGGGGGACAGCCAGTGAGAATGACCGTGGTCAGGGACAGAGAGGGTCACTGGATCAAAGAGTACCTGGGGGGAGGACAAGGGGGGTAGACGTAAGAAGACTGGAAATGTAGAGGGGGTATATTACAAAGGGCTTTGAAAACAACAGACCGAGACCAATTGGATCAACCAGTCCTGCTAAATTTCCATGTGAAATTTATCGCAGAGTTTTCAAGGTCTCATCATCAGTTTGAAATCTTTGTAAAGGGTTACGGTTTGCCCTTCAAGTATTTGAAGATCTTTCGTGTAGACAAGAAAGTAGATTGGTTCCCTTTGGAGTAATGGGTACTAGTGGCAGAAAGGCAGATTTGAACTTGATGTAAGGAAATACAGCCTAATTAATAGAACTGTCTAAAAATGAAATAGTCTTCCTCAAAGGGTAATGGGTTCCTTGTTACTGAAAGTCTTCATGCAGAGCCTTTCCATAATGTAGTAAAAGGATTTCTTGTCCAGGGTACAATGTGTTCCCCATGCTCTCTTACTTCCATTTCTGTCTTTAGATTCTGTAATTCTACTGAGGAAGAAGTACCTGAGTTTAAGAATTTGGAAAACCTCCACTATCCTGGAGTGTGTTCAGAAGAGACTTGTTAATGACAACAAAGGTCAACTGAAGGAATTAGAACTATCTAGTCTAGAGAAGATTCAGTGAGTAAATGTCAGCTGTCTTCAGCTGTTGCATAATAGGGATTAGATTTATTTTGCTTGACACCAGAGAACCAGACTATAAACAGTAGACAAAAGGTGAAGAGAGAAAACTTAAAAGTCAGAACTGGCCAAAGTAGAATGAGCTTTCTCAGAAGGTAGTGAGCTCTTCACCACCAGAGAAGTTCAAGTGGAGTCTAGGTGACCGTTTGTCATATTATAGAGGGGATTTCTGTTCAGGTATAGGTTGGGCTAGGTGCCTGGATGTCCCTTCCAATCCTGAGAGTACCTGTAAATAAGGTAAGAGGCCCTAAAGTATTAGCAGTTATGCTTTGTTAAGGCAAGCATCCTAGACCATTGGAAGATTTAATGGGTGACACATTTAAGAATTGCAAAGGATAGAAAGGCTTAGATGGGTTGTAATCTCTACAGTATACAGAATATGTGCATTAATGATTGCATTTCATAAGGCCACCGTTATTTTAACATTTTATATGTTGTACATGTCTTACAAACACAATAAGTTCTGTGGAAGACAATGACAACAGCTAGTGATTATCAAGCACATACTATATGTCAGGCACTGTGCTAAGCAATGGAGATACAAAAAAAGGCATGTGTAATCCCTGCCCTTAAGGAACTCAATCTAATGGGGATGGGGGATTAGGGAGAGACAACATGCAAACAACTATATAGAAAATAGAGATTAGTAGAGAGAACTTTCCAGACGTGGAAGACAGCCAGGGAAAATGCAAGGAGTATGGAGTGTCTTGTGTGAGGAAGAAGAAGGAGGCCAGAGTCACTGGATCATAGAGTACATGGAAGGGAGTAAGGTGTAAGAAGACTGGAAAGATAAGAAGGAGCTAGGTGTTATGAAGAGCTTTAAAAACTAGAGGATTTTATATTTGATCCTGAAGGTAATAGAACCCTACTGGAGTTTATTGACTAAAGGAGTGATGTGGTCAGGTCTGCTCTTTAGAAAGATGACTTTAATAGCTGAGTAGAAGATGGATTAGAGTGGGATGGTTCCTCAACAAATTAATTAGCTAGAATAATGGTAATAGGGGCAAGGGTGGCATAAATAATTGACTCTTTTGCTTATTTCTAAACTTTGTTTTATTGTTGATTTTTTTTTAACATCGTCAACAAACTTTTACAATAACTTACTGAGTAGAAAAATTTCTCTCAATTTTATTACTCAATAAAATGATGTAGGCATTTGATTATGTTTAATCCATTTTTTAAAATTGTGAGTATACAACTCTTTTCTGGAAGTAAAGAATTAGAAGTTGAGTGGAGGCCCATCAGTTGGGGAATGGCTGAACAAGTGGTATGTGATTATGATGGAATACTATTATACTATAAGAAATGATGAACAGGATGCTCTCAGAAAAACCTGGAAAGACTTGAATGGGCTAATGCAAAGTGAAATGTACGATATTTTAAGACGATCATCTATGAATGACTTATCTGTTCTCAGCAATACAATGATCGAAGTCAACTCTGAAGGACTTATGATGAAAAATATTATCCATTCCCATCTTGTGGTTGGTTTAGTCTCGTAGGATGAGACCTGGGACTCTGTCCACCCAGGGACACTAAAAACTGTTTCGGTTTCATGGTGTATTGTGGTAGCACTGTCTCAAAGAATTCCCACCTCTAATCTAAGTACAGGCATTCATTGAGGATTGGCCTCTCTCATGAAGCAGGCTAGGTTTCAAGAGGAACCAGCAACTTCAGTGAAAGCAAGATGGATTTTTATAGGGTAAAGATGTAATTACATAACAGAAATTTTGAATATTAAAAAGGCAGGAGAGATTTGTTAAGGTGTTAGGTAATGCAGATGGATCCTTTCTGTGGTTTGGTGGTCAAACGTCCGGTCATGCTGCACTCCAAATTGGTTAGACCTGTTTGGTCAAGATGGATAGGTAGGTATTGTGGTCCTGTCTTGGGCTAAATGGTTGATGTGATTGTGGTTGAGTACAAGAACATACCTGTTCAAATATATGAATTGGATCTGGGCGCAGTGGCTAGCTAGGGTCAGTGGTTATATTGAGCCTGGGGACTTGTGATGTGGATTGTGTGGTTAAATCAGGGCGTGCCTACTGTTTAGTGAGGCCCGTAAGGAAGTTAGAATATTGGGGCTGGGGGCAGCTTTGCTTCTAAGGATTCCATCATCCAGAGAAAGAACTGATGATGTCTGAATACAGATTGAAGCATACTTTTTTTTAAACTTTATTTTTTTTGAGGTTTTTTTTTGGTCTTTGTTTTCTTTCACAGAATGACTATTAGGGATTTGTTTTGCATGACTACACACGTGTAACTTATATCCAGTTGCTTCCCTTCTCAGTGAGGGAGGGAGGAAAGGAGAGAATTTAGAACTCAAAGTTTTAAAAACGGGAAAATAAAATACTAAATAAAAAGCTAAAAAAATTGTGACTTTAAAAATGTGGAAGGTATTATTTTAAATTCATTAACCTTTTCCTCTCTTAATAGTGTCCAAGATGGGTTGGCTGTAAATTTTACATCTTTAACAAAAGCACTTTATGATTTACATAAAGCATTGAAGACTGATTTCATTCTTGGGAGCCCTTTAAAAGAATTGGTGATAGAAAACTTTGATGATGAGCAGATTTGGCAGCAACTAGAATTGCAGAACGAACCAGTTTTACGGTACTTTAAGAAAGCTGTTAATGGAAATGTTAAAGACAGGGAACTCTGTCTTCTCCCAGAGAGTGAAGAGGTTGACTCAGAGATGGATATTGACAAGGAGGAAATAGAACAGAATTCAGAGCTGGAGCAAAAGTCAGATCTAGTTAATGATGGTCTTGAAGAAGAAATTAAGAGAAATAAAAAGTTAATTAAAGTTGATGTAGAGAAAAGTTCAGATTTTAGTGATGAGGATTCTGATCTTGACTTTGATATTGATAAACTAGAACGTCAAAACAAGAAGCCAAAAGTATTTATTAAATCAAAAGTGAAATCCATAGTAGATGATAAATTTTTCAAATTGTCTGAAATGGAGTCCTTTTTGGAAGATATGGAAAAAGATGAGAAAGAAAAAAAGGAAGATGATGAAGATGACATTAATTATTTTGAAGAAATTATTTCTGATGAAGATAGTGAGCTATTTACAGACTCTCCAAAAAAGGTAAAGTTATTCTTTTGTCTAATGGTTAAGTTTTGCCCTTTTTTAAAAATGGATATTTAAAATATCTTTAATATAAA